TTCTCTGGAAAATATCTTCAAGATGGTCTTTGGGACATCATTTGAGGAGTTTTAATCCTGCATGTTAGTGTATTATGAACACGTTTTGTGTTTTGATTGAAAAAAACGTTACTAGCGAATATTTGCATCTTTAGCAACTTAGCAACTTCACATAGCTGCAGTATTGTGGTAGGAGTTGAGCCAGTTTTTACTTGCGGTGCCTTTAAAGTGAGGACACAACAGTAAGGTCTCCAACTAAAATATGTACATATATTATGGACTCTTGGCTCAACTTGCCCCATATGAGGGGTAAGTTGAACCAAGTGAGAGGATAAGTTGAGCCACATGGGGGTCGAGGGCATCAATATCATTTCATCATGCAAACTCAAACGCCAGGTCCCAACATTCAGAATGATAGTGAAACACTGCAGCTATGTCTCCTAGTTGTTTCATATCAATGTATTGCTTTAAAGTCATCCTGTTTATCGTCATGTCTCGTGCCACCTGATGAATGGACTTCCCGTTTTTGTACCTCTCCCGCTCCTCTGCCCAAACCCACAACAGGACAGCCTGTCTGTGTTCCATTTATAGAAGCATGACATAATGGTTTCTGGTCTAAAGTGCATACTGTCACATCATTTCGGTGATGCATAAGAATGCAATGGAAAATTACAGTAAAATATCTGGCTCAACTTCCCCCAGGTCTTTTGGCTCAAATGTCCTGTCCCTGCCATTTTAACAGACTTGTGTCATCCAGCTGTTTAAGGGTAACATCATTCTAACAGTATAGCCTCATATTGTAACTTCCTAAAGCACATGAGTAAGATTTTCTCAAACCTGTCTAATTGTTCAGACACAAAAATCACTTTGAACGTCAAAAAACAGTTTTTTGATCTTAAATGCGCTTATCACTTATTCCATGGGCCTCTCTCCATCACAGGGTGAGTAAAATGGATGACTCTTCAAAAATGTGAGGGGTGGCTCAACTCCCTCAGAGGATTAAATCACCCCGCTCTCTCCTACAGCTAGGCTACATACACTGAACTTGAAAAGTGAATAACAGGACGACATGGTCTTGTATGTTGTAGGTGGACCAGGGCGAGACCGATGTGTCTGCAACCACGACCGCTGCGCCTACAACTAATACAACCTCTATACCTATGACCACGATGACCACTGCACCTACAACCACAACAACCGCTGCGCCTACAACCACGACCGCTGGGCCTACAACTAATACAACCTCTATACCTATGACCACGATGACCGCTGCGCCTACAACCACAACAACCGCTGCGCCTACAACCACGACCGCTGGGCCTACAACTAATACAACCTCTATACCTATGACCACGATGACCGCTGCGCCTACAACCACGACCACTGCGCCTACAACTAATACAACCTTTGCACCTATGACCACGATGACCGCTGCGCCTACAACCACGACCGCTGCGCCTACAACTAATACAACCTCTATACCTATGACCACTATGACCGCTGCGCCTACGACCACAACAACTGCTGCGCCTACAACCACGACCGCTGGGCCTTCAACTAATACAACCTCTATACCTATGACCACTATGACCGCTGCGCCTACGACCACAACAACTGCTGCGCCTACAACCACGACCGCTGGGCCTTCAACTAATACAACCTCTATACCTATGACCACGATGACCGCTGCGCCTACGACCACAACAACTGCTGCGCCTACAACCACGACCGCTGGGCCTTCAACTAATACAACCTCTATACCTATGACCACGATGACCGCTGCGCCTACGACCACAACAACTGCTGCGCCTACAACCACGACCGCTGGGCCTTCAACTAATACAACCTCTATACCTATGACCACGATGACCGCTGCGCCTACGACCACAACAACTGCTGCGCCTACAACCACGACCACTGGGCCTTCAACTAATACAACCTCTATACCTATGACCACTATGACCGCTGCACCTACAACCATGACCGCTGCGCCTACAACTAATACAACCTCTATACCTATGACCACGATGACCGCTGCGCCTACAACCACGACCGCTGTGCCTACAACCATGACCTCTGCGCCTACAACTAATACAACCTCTGCACCTATGACCACGATGACCGCTGCGCCTACAACCACGACCGCTGTGCCTACAACCATGACCGCTGCGCCTACAACTAATACAACCTCTATACCTATGACCACGATGACCGCTGCGCCTACAACCACGACCGCTGTGCCTACAACCATGACCTCTGCGCCTACAACTAATACAACCTCTGCACCTATGACCACGATGACCGCTGCGCCTACAACCACGACCGCTGTGCCTACAACCATGACCGCTGCGCCTACAACTAATACAACCTCTGCACCTATGACCACTATGACCGCTGCGCCTACAACCACGACCACTGGGCCTTCAACTAATACAACCTCTATACCTATGACCACGATGACCGCTGCGCCTACAACCACGACCGCTGTGCCTACAACCATGACCGCTACGCCTACAACTAATACAACCTCTGCACCTATGACCACGATGACCGCTGCGCCTACAACCACGACCGCTGTGCCTACAACCATGACCGCTGCGCCTACAACTAATACAACCTCTGCACCTATGACCACGATGACCGCTGCGCCTACAACCACGACCGCTGCGCCTACAACCACGACCGCTGCGCCTACAACCATGACCGCTGCGCCTACAACTAATACAACCTCTGCACCTATGACCACGATGACCGCTGCGCCTACAACCACGACCGCTGTGCCTACAACCATGACCGCTGCGCCTACAACTAATACAACCGCTGTACCTATGACCACGATGACCGCTGCGCCTACAACTAATACAACCGCTGCACCTATGACCACGATGACCGCTGCGCCTACAACTAATACAACCTCTGCACCTATGACCACGATGACCGCTGCGCCTACAACTAATACAACCTCTGCACCTATGACCACGATGACCGCTGCGCCTACAACTAATACAACCACTGCACCTATGACCACGATGACCGCTGCGCCTACAACTAATACAACCGCTGCACCTATGACCACGATGACCGCTGCACCTACAACCACGACCGCTGCGCCTACAACTAATACAACCTCTGCACCTATGACCACGATGACCGCTGCGCCTACAACTAATACAACCGCTGCACCTATGACCACGATGACCGCTGCGCCTACAACCACGACCTCTGCGCCTACAACTAATACAACCGCTGCACCTATGACCACGATGACCGCTGCGCCTACAACCACGACCACTGGGCCTTCAACTAATACAACCTCTATACCTATGACCACTATGACCGCTGCACCTACAACCATGACCGCTACGCCTACAACTAATACAACCTCTATACCTATGACCACGATGACCGCTGCGCCTACAACCACGACCGCTGTGCCTACAACCATGACCTCTGCGCCTACAACTAATACAACCTCTGCACCTATGACCACGATGACCGCTGCGCCTACAACCACGACCGCTGTGCCTACAACCATGACCGCTGCGCCTACAACCATGACCGCTGTGCCTACAACTAATACAACCTCTATACCAATGACCACGATGACCGCTGCGCCTACAACCACGACCGCTGTGCCTACAACCATGACCTCTGCGCCTACAACTAATACAACCTCTGCACCTATGACCACGATGACCGCTGCGCCTACAACCACGACCGCTGTGCCTACAACCATGACCGCTGCGCCTACAACTAATACAACCTCTGCACCTATGACCACTATGACCGCTGCGCCTACAACCACGACCACTGGGCCTTCAACTAATACAACCTCTATACCTATGACCACGATGACCGCTGCGCCCACAACCACGACCGCTGTGCCTACAACCATGACCGCTACGCCTACAACTAATACAACCTCTGCACCTATGACAACGATGACCGCTGCGCCTACAACCACGACCGCTGTGCCTACAACCATGACCGCTGCGCCTACAACTAATACAACCTCTGCACCTATGACCACGATGACCGCTGCGCCTACAACCACGACCGCTGCGCCTACAACCACGACCGCTGCGCCTACAACCATGACCGCTGCGCCTACAACTAATACAACCTCTGCACCTATGACCACGATGACCGCTGCGCCTACAACCACGACCGCTGTGCCTACAACCATGACCGCTGCGCCTACAACTAATACAACCGCTGTACCTATGACCACGATGACCGCTGCGCCTACAACTAATACAACCGCTGCACCTATGACCACGATGACCGCTGCGCCTACAACTAATACAACCTCTGCACCTATGACCACGATGACCGCTGCGCCTACAACTAATACAACCTCTGCACCTATGACCACGATGACCGCTGCGCCTACAACTAATACAACCACTGCACCTATGACCACGATGACCGCTGCGCCTACAACTAATACAACCGCTGCACCTATGACCACGATGACCGCTGCACCTACAACCACGACCGCTGCGCCTACAACTAATACAACCTCTGCACCTATGACCACGATGACCGCTGCGCCTACAACTAATACAACCGCTGCACCTATGACCACGATGACCGCTGCGCCTACAACTAATACAACCTCTGCACCTATGACCACGATGACCGCTGCGCCTACAACCACGACCTCTGCGCCTACAACTAATACAACCGCTGCACCTATGACCACGATGACCGCTGCGCCTACAACCACAACCTCTGCGCCTACAACTAATACAACCTCTGCACCTATGACCACGATGACTGCGGCGCCTAAAACCACGACCGCTGCGCCTACAACTAATACAACCGCTGCACCTATGACCACGATGACCACTGCACCTACAACCACAATGACCGCTGTGCCTACAACCACTACAACCGCTGCACCTATGACCACGATGACCGCTGCACCTACAACCACGACCGCTGCACCTACAACTAATACAACCGCTGTACCTATGACCACGATGACCGCTGCGCCTACAACTAATACAACCGCTGCACCTATGACCACGATGACCGCTGCGCCTACAACTAATACAACCTCTGCACCTATGACCACGATGACCGCTGCGCCTACAACTAATACAACCACTGCACCTATGACCACGATGACCGCTGCGCCTACAACCACGACCGCTGCGCCTACAACTAATACAACCTCTGCACCTATGACCACGATGACCGCTGCGCCTACAACCACGACCACTGCGCCTACAACTAATACAACCTCTGCACCTATGACCACGATGACCGCTGCGCCTACAACCACGACCGCTGCGCCTACAACTAATACAACCTCTGCACCTATGACCACGATGACCGCTGCGCCTACAACTAATACAACCGCTGCACCTATGACCACGATGACCGCTGCGCCTACAACCACAACCTCTGCACCTACAACTAATACAACCTCTGCACCTATGACCACGATGACTGCGGCGCCTAAAACCACGACCGCTGCGCCTACAACTAATACAACCGCTGCACCTATGACCACGATGACCACTGCACCTACAACCACAATGACCGCTGCGCCTACAACCACTACAACCGCTGCACCTATGACCACGATGACCGCTGCGCCTACAACTAATACAACCGCTGCACCTATGACCACGATGACTGCTGCGCCTACAACCACGACCGCTGCGCCTACAACTAATACAACCGCTGCACCTATGACCACGATGACCGCTGCGCCTACAACCACGACCGCTGCGCCTACAACTAATACAACCTCTGCACCTATGACCACGATGACCGCTGCGCCTACAACTAATACAACCACTGCACCTATGACCACGATGACCGCTGCGCCTACAACCACGACCGCTGCGCCTACAACTAATACAACCTCAGCACCTATGACCACGATGACCGCTGCGCCTACAACTAATACAACCTCTGCACCTATGACCACGATGACCGCTGCGCCTACAACTAATACAACCGCTGCACCTATGACCACGATGACCGCTGCGCCTACAACTAATACAACCGCTGCACCTATGACCACGATGACCGCTGCGCCTACAACCACGACCGCTGCGCCTACAACTAATACAACCTCTGCACCTATGACCACGATGACCGCTGCGCCTACAACCACGACCACTGCACCTACAACTAATACAACCGCTGCACCTATGACCACGATGACCGCTGCACCTACACCCACGATGACCGCTGCGCCTACAACCACTACAACCGCTGCACCTATGACCACGATGACCGCTGCGCCTACAACTAATACAACCGCTGCACCTATGACCACGATGACCGCTGCGCCTACAACTAATACAACCGCTGCACCTATGACCACGACGACCGCTGCACCTACAACCACGACGACCGCTGTGTCTACAACCACGACAACCGCTGCGCCTACAACCACGACGACCGCTGCACCTACAACCGCTGCACCTACAACCACGACGACCGCTGCGCCTACAACCAGTACAACCGCTGCGCCTACAACCACTACAACCGCTGCACCTACAACCACTACAACCGCTGCACCTACAACCACGACGACCGCTGCGCATACAACCACTACAACCGCTGCGCCTACAACCAGTACAACCGCTGCACCTACAACCAGTACAACCGCTGCACCTACAACCACTACAACCGCTGCACCTACAACCACGATGACCGCTGCACCTACAACCACTACAACCGCTGCGCCTACAACCAGGACAACCGCTGCGCCTACAACCAGTACAACCGCTGCACCTACAACCACGACGACCGCTGCACCTACAACCACGACGACCGCTGCGCCTATAACCAGGACAACCGCTGCGCCTACGACCACGACGACCGCTGCGCCTACGACCACAACAACCGCTGCGCCTACAACCAGGACAACCGCTGCGCCTACAACCAGTACAACCGCTGCACCTACAACCACGACGACCGCTGCACCTACAACCACGACGACCGCTGCGCCTACAACCAGGACAACCGCTGCGCCTACGACCACGACGACCTCTGCACCTACGACCACGACAACCGCTGCACCTACAACCACCGCTGCGCCTACAACCAGTACAACCGCTGCACCTACGACCACGACGACCGCTGCGCCTACGACCACGACGACCGCTGCGCCTACGACCACGACGACCGCTGCGCCTACAACCAGGACAACCGCTGCGCCTACAACCAGTACAACCGCTGCGCCTACAACCACGACGACCGCTGCGCCTACAACCACGACGACCGCTGCACCTACAACCAGTACAACAGTTGCACCTACAACCATGACGACCACTGCATCTACATCCGCTGCACCTACAACCACAACAACAGCTGCACCTACAACCACGACGACCACTGCGCCTACAACCAGTACAACTGCTGCACCTACAACCACTACAACCGCTGCACCTACAACCACGATGACCGCTGCGCCTACGACCACGACGACCGCTGCACCTACAACCATGATGACCGCTGCGTCTACAACCACGACGACCGCTGCGCCTACAACCAGTACAACTGCTGCACCTACAACCACTACAACCGCTGCACCTACAACCATGATGACCGCTGCGTCTACAACCACGACGACCGCTGCGCCTACAACCACGACAACCACCACAACAAACACTGCACCTACAACCACGACGACCGCTGCACCTACAACCACTAAAACCATTGCACCTACAACCACAACGACAGCAAAGCTTCCCACCACTACAATCATTGCACCTACAAACACGGCAACCACTAAGCCTGCAACCAGTAACGGCTGTGGGAGGAACAACGCCTCCGCCCTGCTGCTTCCGTTGGCACTTGCAGTCTGTGTCCTCTACGGCTGGTCTTAAAGACCGGACTGATGGCTCTTCACCTTTGGCACACACCGCCAAAACGGCTGGACTGGGCACATATGTTCTTTTAAATCACTTCTCTTCCAAAACACATTTTCTGTAATTTTCGCTCGTTAATTAAGTGCTGTGTTCAGACCTTGTAGCTATGCACCAACCGGGGACACTCCCTGCTGTGTTTATATAGCTGGCTTGCCCACTATGCAAAGGTATGTGCTCCTTGATGCAGGCAAAGTGATTTTTAAAAAGCTTAGAAAAGTTTGTATTCTGGGAATGGCCTATGTGACGTAGGCTAAATATGACTAGTGCTGTTTGGAACTTAAATCCGACTGTTCACAATTATGCCAGGGACAATTCAGAAGTCACTGGATATCTAATTCCATGCCCTTGCTCACCACATAAGGTGGATGTGAGCGCAAGACAAATAAAAATACTTGACTGAGGAATTAATAAATTAAAGGCTGGTCCTGGTATTTTTGGCTCAGGCGGCCCACCAAAATTGGTCGGACACCCCCCACCAATACACCATCCTTCCCTTTAAGGACTCAGATTAGGGGTGTGGCGAAACAAGACAAGAAAATATTTTAATAAGTCTGCTATTTAGGAAAAAAAATGTATTTATGAAATAGTTGATAGGGGGTCTAGGGGTACTCCCCCAGAAGATTTTGAGCATTAAACACTTAATATCCTGCATTCTGGGGACATTTTCTGTACCAGGGAAGCACAAAATTCAGGTGGCAGGTGTGTTGAGTTTTAAAAAGTTAGAACAAACTTAATGTATTCCAGTGTTTCAGTGTTTTTCTTCAAATGTAAAACTGCAGGATTTTCGGCCAGGCAATTGCATTAGAATGTTGATTAAACCATGGTTTGTATCCTCTTTGTAATGTGAAGAAAACTGAAACCTCTTTGTTTAAGTGCCAGAAGGACTGTTTTGTTTTGACTGTTTCATTGACACTTAAGAGAGGGTGTCAACCATTTTGGACACAAGCCCAGTTGTTCTCTATGATTAGTTTAGAGCAAAAGACAGTTTATTCCTGTAGATTGAAGGGGGGGTTTCACGTCTGGGATCGGTGCTCTTTTGTTCGACCAAAAGGTAGAACAGTAAGGTACACACTTCCTAATTGGGTGACGAAGAAGTTAACCAAACGACCAATGGCTATGGACCTAAGCCATTTGGAGGAAAATGGACCCGCCCACATACCTGGAGGATATTAACAATTTATTCTGTGAGAATCAGGACTGTAAGCTGTAAATCTGAAAAGAGGAACAACTTTCCAGTCCACTGCAGTGTTTTTGTTTCATGTTTGTTCTGTAATGCCATCTTTTATTCACCTATTTTTTAATTATATTTTCTTGTTAATTTTCATCGGATCCAGTCTCTCCTTTCTCAAAATCTGAAAAAAACGCAACAATTGGTGACCCCGACGTGATTTTGAGAAAAGGAGGACAGGACATTACAAAACTTCAGACGGAGAGTGGACGACTGCCTGATTCTCACACGGGCCCAAATATCGAAAGGTAAGAACAGAGACCTGTTTTATCAAAACTCTGTATAGGTTATATAGAAGATTTTAGGTGTGAGAATCAAGCAGCGTCTACTCCGTAAGTCTGTAAATATTTTAAAGTGATTTAAAGTGAAGAATCCGATTGTTAAATATCATTTGTGATGGCAGTGTAGAACAATGGTATGTTATTGTTTGTTTAAAGCTTAAAAGCCTGTATGAAGGTCCATGGTAAATAGTGCACATTAGAAGTCCGTGGGTACCGAAGGGAGAAGTGCCGTCTTGTTCCTTTTTGTATCGCCTAGTATTAAGTGTGAAAAACCTGTATGACGGTTCGGTACCTTCCAAGGTCCGAGGTCACAAGAGTGAGCCTAGTATTGTGTGTGAAAATAGGTATCAATTGAATATAGGTCTGTACATACTGTAAATAAGTAAAATCTTTGTAAATAAGGATTGTTTGCATTGAAATCAGGAGTCAAAAGGAGGCTATTCAAGCATTGTGTTTTAAACAAAGCAATGTTTCAAAACACTGTTTTGTAGTGACTGAGCAATGTTTTGTTTTTTGTTTGTGTTTTGAAAAAACTTTGTTGAGATATTGGTTGAAACAAAAAAATTCACTTCTTATGACTGTCCACCTGAAAAGGTAGAAGCTTGACTGCTTATGAGGTGAATTAAGTTGAAAGCAATCAAAGAACGCATGTTTATGAAAGGTTGAGCCCTCCACCATTCCACCCTGGCAGTTGTCGGCATGTTTATTCTCTCTCTCTAGCTCTAGTCCTATCTTAAGAAATATTAAATATATACATATGGAGGTATGCACTATGACTAGTTTCGTTACACTATAAATAACACATCTTAGAAAGACATTCCAGATGTTTTCTGTATAGAGTTTTAAAGAGTTTTTGTGAAGTAATAAGTGTTTGTTTTAAACATTATGTTCCAGTATAGAAGGAAAATATTTGGATGCGTATGAGATGATAAATACAGAAAACTCAAACGAATGCACCATCTTGCAAGTGTCATAGGACTGAGAGAGTTTCTCCAGAGTTAGTGTGTGTTTGATAAAATCTGTCAATATTACAAATATGGGAAGATCAGAGTGATTGTGTGAATGAAAAACCATTGCTAGTAAAAACAAGTCTGTTCCTGTGAGTCAGTATAAAACATGGGGAACAAATTGGGGAAACTTAATTCTTGCCTGACACTCTTTCAGGTCCAGATAAATTAATGGCACAAAAATGGGGAAAAGGTGTGGTTGTTGATGTTGGCCTTTTTCCTATCCCGGGCACACCAAATACAGATTGTTTTAGGAAGGAGTAGAAAATATGTTGAAAAACCATAAGCTGGGCAGCTGGATGAAGTAACACAAGTTGCAGAAGAACCACCCAACCCTAAAAGGATTGATGGAACAGGTCGGCACCGGAACACCAATGACAAGACCTGTTCATCCTTCCACCCCGGGTCAAGGACAAATGTGTAGAGAAAATGAGTGCACTGGAGATGGAGCCTTCAGGCTCAGGGTGGAAGCCACAATGCTGGGAAGTGAAAGACAGAGACTGAGGCAGAGACAAACAAAAGAGGAGAAGAGAAAGATGAAGAGTAAGAAAAAGCCTAGAAAACATAGGACTGATTATGACAGTGAAGGACAAGAAGAATGTGAAGAAGAAAATGAAAGGAAGAAGAGGACAACAAAACATGCATACTCAGACTAAGGGGCAAAGTAAAGGTTGCCCTGCCCCCCACCACATCTGAAGGAGATAACAAAACAGAGGGAGGAGCATGCCATCCAACTACTCCCAGATGCCAATGACTGCCTGGGAAGAGGAACAAGG